TAGAAGAGATTCGTTACGTAAACTGGGAACATATGTCTGAGATTTTGAATGTCCGTTGAATGTCCTTTGACCCAAAAAGGTTGGAGAAGAAGATCTAGGGTTTAAACTCCGAGACTGACGTATATCAATAGACATTGATGTCCAGGTTCTGAAGTTGAGAGACTTGTGTATGTATGACTTCTTGCTTGCTGGCTGACTTGAATATGTGAAATTTTGCTCTTGGTTAGAGAAGGGCCGAGTTCCTGGAGAATCAGTAACCTGTCACCGTGCGTTTAATCTTGGCAGCAGTTTAGAAGTGGTTGGCCCTTGCTTCTTGGGATGCCCTTGCATTCCTGGTTAATTTCCAATCTGGCCTGGTCTTCCTTAGGTCTCTGTCCAGAAAGAATCCGCCAGATCAAGAACAAATCGCGCCTTTTGCATTTAGAGAGAATTCTGAAGAAACTTTCAAAGCTGTAGACCGAAGTTTAGGAAAATTAACAGATCTTCCTAATTGGAATGTTGACATTTACCAATGCATCTTCTCTAACTATTCATTTGTCCTCCCCTCCCCACAGTGTAACGTGCCTGAAGGTGGGCTTGTCCCCAAATCGCTGTATCAAACAGATGAAGAGTCTGAAACGGCGGATCACATTCGTCTCTGGACGGAAACCATCTATCACTCTGCAAATATTTTCAAAGGGGCTCCCCAGGAGGTAAAACCAGAAGGTTCTGTTCTGTCCCAGCCTATGTGGGTCCTTGTTAACTCACAAGGACAAAACCCTCTTTTAACAAGTAGGCTGGAAATGCAGGAAAAACAAACCCCTTTTATTAATTATGTACAGACCTGCAAAATGTCCCCAAAGCAAAGGCAAACAGGACACGATGCAAACGGCGAATTGTCCAAAGGCAAGGCAAACCGAACATGATTCCATGAAACTTGAATCCTTTGCAAACGGTTGCTTTCAGCAACCAGCACCACCCACACTGTCCCTTTTTATTATGCAGTCCCAAGGCGTGGCTTCTCAATGCCTTCTCCTCCTCCCTTGGAGTCGCCCCATGGCCTTCCTCTGTCCTGCTCTTGTTGCCTGTCTGCGTTTGCGAGCGTCTATGATGTCTTCCAGCTGTGAGTCCTCAGAGTCTGACTCAGCTTCCCAGCACAGCTAGGTCTCAGCCTGAGCACGAGTGGAGGGGCCAGGCTCTTCATCAGATTGTAAGTCCTGGAGCTCATCAGAGCCTTCCTCCGATTCTGATGGCTCTCCAGGCCCCTCCTCTTCCTCCTCCTCCTCCTCTGATTCCCCGGACTCAGATGCCAGGTCCACTGCCTGGCACGGAATCACAACAGGTTCAATGGAAGACGCAGTAGGTATATTCTACTTTTCTAGGCCACCCAACAATGACTTGATTAAGGTTCTGAAGAAACAGGAAGAAGAACTTGGTTTCCACATATTCCTGGTGCCCCTTCAGCTGCTGTGAATATGTTATGCAGGAAAGAGGAAAGATTTAAAACTCAGTTTCTTTGTAGGCACGTCAGTCCTTGGCAAGAAGTGGTAGGCTTGTGTAACAGATGTATTTCTGGGGGGGGGGGAATCTCCAGCCAGGCTGGAGGGAGATATTAAGACGTGGTTGGGTCCAGAGTCTTTGCACTGGAAAACCTCCCAGTGTTGACCGGATCTTAGAAGGTCTAATTTTATCAGCAGCCTCCCTGAAGAAACTGCCTGGATGTAAGATTTTTCTGTCTTCTAATCTAGATAGTTGTAGAGATCCTGGAAGGTGAATCTGTGATCACTTGGGATTTTGACATCCTCAAAGGAGATGTGGTGTTCAGCCTCTTCCATTCCAAACGAGCCCCCGAGACTGTCCGCAAGGAATCTGCCATGCCGACTGCTTTGACATCTGGGGAAAACGTTCAACTCATTGGCAAGAGTTGGGTCCTGGGAGTGGACTACAGCCGCGTGGAGACTCCTTTGGTCTGCCGTGAAGGCGAGAGCATCCAGGTCAGATTGTCCCCCCAAACGGTTCAGTGCCGCCGGGCCTAATCCTGATGAGAAAGCAAGCTTTTCCTATAGGTCTGAGCCAATTCTGTGGAATTTTAACATGGGCTAGAGATCCCTCAGTGACCGATGGACACACTTGATCGGTGGGTTGCATTGTTAGAAAGCTTTCCGCGGCACTCGGTGCATGGAGATGATCAGATCTCTGCGATTTGTAACGTACCTAAGTGTGAAGAGTGTTTTGCCACTCCTAATTGCACATGAATTAACTTATTAAATTAAGAAATGGGTTGCAGGGCAAGTTGAAAGAGTAAAAAAATAATGCAGTAGTAAGCAATTATCATGGGAAATGTGTGAGAGATAGACAGATTGACAGGTAGATAAATGACAGACATATATAGATTGATAGATGAAGTATGTATGTATGTATGTATGTATGTGTATGTACATACAGAGAGAGAGAGAGATAGGCAGGCAGGCAGATAGACAGGTAGCTGGATGATAGATGACAGATGGTAGATGATAGATAATAGACAATAGCTAGATGATGTCTGTCTATCTATCTATCTATCTATCTATCTATCTATCTATCTATCTATCTATCTATCTATCTATCTACCTACCTACCTACCTACCTACCTACCTATATACCTGCCTGCCTGCCTGCCTGCCTGCCTGCCTGCCTATCTATCTATCTATCTATCTATCTATCTATCTATCTATCTATCTATCTATCTATCTATCTATCTATCTATCTATCTATCTACCTACCTACCTACCTACCTACCTACCTACCTACCTACCTATATATCTATATACCTATATACCTGCTGCCTGCCTGCCTGCCTGCCTGCCTGCCTGCCTATCTGTCTGCCTGCCTGCCTGCCTGCCTGCCTNTTTTTCTTAATAGCCCCAAGTCTGCCTCCCCCAAGCAGAAGCCAGCTCTGTACAAATGCAGATGTAAACCATCAGGAAAGTTGGAGCTAGACGCTTAGGAAGACAAAGACACCTAAAATCTGCATACCCCACCCAAACTCTAAGAGTCATTAGCCCCAGCACCAGGGAAGCAGGATATGACCCTTGGGACATAATAGGATTAACCCACCACCATCAAGAATTCCAGAAAGGCACACCCAGACTCAGGTGAGAATACGTGTCACAGGAAATACAAAGCCTCAAACAGGAACAGGAAACTACTCCAAACAAAAGGCTCCAGAGGGTATAAAAACCCACTCCCCACATGTGCTCAGTCCTTTTTTCTCTCCTTTCTCCTGCCAGAACCATCTTTCTGTCTGGCTCTTCAATAAACTGTAACCTTCTTTCTAAAGCATTCGCCATGTTGTTTATCCCCGGCTTGGATGAACCAGGATGAAGACTTTTCCTTCAACACTACCAAAGTTGTCACTGTGAAAAATGATCATAAGTCACTTTTTTCAGTGACATCGTAACTTTGAATGTTCACTAAACGGACTGAGGACTACTTGTAAATACCAGGCACAAAACAACTCAAAGCAGATGTTCTACTAGAGAGAATTTCCCTGGGGATGGGCTCCAGCACAAATCCGAAAGCTCGGAAGAGAAAAACCTTGATCCGGGCGACCGACCCAGATTGGATCCTGCAATTCCAAATTAATCCAGGCATAACACAGTTGGTTTTTTTTAAAAAAAAAAAAAATATTATTATTCATTGGAAAAAGAAAATTGAACCAACGGCCTGAGTCACTTCTTTGTGTAATAGTTACTACTTTTAATCTCATTTATCCTTGCATTAAGGACATTGGAAGCCCTGGAAACAGGATGCATCAGAGCTGTCCCTTCGAATATTTTCTTTCTGAAGGGAACTGTGTGATTCTAGGCACTTTTCCTTAAGAGCTGGAGATGGGGAGGATTTTCAAGGCAAGAGATCAGCCTTTCATCTTTCCCCGCTTGATCATTTTTTTCTGCAGTGCCTCACCTCCAGGGGTTTTTTCTTTCTTTCATCTGATCGGAGGCCAGATTCCCCACCAAGGAAGGGCAGAGGGAACATTAAAAGAAAAAGAGCATTTCCTCCCTGCCAATCTCCCCTTCTTTGCAAAATGGGGGAGAATTGCCAGAAAAGAAGTTTTTTTCTTTGAAATTCATCCCGAGACATGCTCAGCTGGAGACCTCGCTGCGCCCCCCCCTTTTTTCTTCTTCCTTTTATGCAATTTTTATTACCTTTAAAAGGAAGGTAAAAACACATGCAGGCGAACGTAAAGTCAAAAAAAGAAAGAAATCAAAGAGAAAACCCAAAGGGCAAGAAACAGGGGAAAAAAGTAAAAGAAAAATAGAAAAAAAAGAAAGACACACCAAGAAATAGTTTCTGATCTTTAGGGCCCAGCTGCAGAAAGTCCTCAACTTACAACTGTTTAGCGACTGTTCGAAGTTACAGCCAGTGTCCTGGGTTCCTGTTTGCCATTTACGACCTTCCCAGTTGGCTTCTGACAAGGCTGCCAAAAAAACCAACATAGTGCTGGGCTGCATTAACAGAGGGATAGAATCAAGATCACGTGAAGTGTTAATACCACTTTACAAGGCCTTGGTAAGGCCACACTTGGATTACTGCATCCAGTTTTGGTCACCGCGATGTAAAAAAGATGTTGAGACTCTAGAAAGAGTACAGAGAAGAGCAACAAAGATGATCAGGGGACTGGAGGCTAAAACATATAAGGAACGGTTGCTGGAATTGGGTATGTCTAGTTTAACGAAGAGAAGGACAAGGAGGGACATGATAGCAGTGTTCCAGTATCTCAGGGGCTGCCCCAAAGAAGAGGGAGTCAAGCTATTCTCCAAGGCACCTGAAAGCAGGACAAGAAGCAACGGGTGGAAACTAACCAAGGAGAGAAACAACCTAGAACTAAGGAGAAACTTCCTGACAGTTAGAACAACTTCCTGACAGTGAGAACAATTAACCAGTGGAACAACCTGCCTCCAGAAGCGGTGAATGCTCCAACACTGGAAGTTTTTAAGAAGAAACTGGACAGCCATTTGTCCGAAATGGTATAGGGTTACCTGCCTGAGCAGAGGGTTGGACCAGATGACCTCCAAGGTCCCTTCCAACTTTATTATTATTATTATTATTAAAAACGGCAGTGATTCAATTAACAACCGTGGCAACAAAGGTTGTAAAATCAAAACATGACCCACTTAACAACTGTTTTGCTTAGCAACGGGAATTCCGGTTGTAATAATAATAAGTACAGTCATAAACTTTACCTTCCTTGATTACTTTCCTTGGTTAGAGAAAAAAGTCTCGGTGTTTATTGCTGAGTGGAAATCCCTAATGGACTTTTTTGCAAGAAACGGGGAAAAAAACCCAAACTCACATTTTACACTTTGGGAGATCAGCAAAGATAAATAATGCAGAAATGGATAGATTGACATTGAAAATGAAAGAGAAAGAAGACTCAGTTTATTTTAGAACATGGGATACTTTTTACCATTGGCTAGAAAAACCGAGGCAGAGAGAAAGGAACTTAATATACGTGTTAGTAAATTAGGCATTGAAACCCAGACAATATGTTGCTGATAATATTTTAAGCGCTTGTGAGTATAAAAAAACTAATAAATATATATATATAAAGAAAAGATAAATAATAGAAAAAAAGGGTATTTTTGTTTTTGTAACCAATCAATAAGAGGTGCTTTTGTACTGATAATTATAATTGCTGTAGAGAAAATTGAAAGCTTTCTTCCTTTCTAATTTCCATTTTTGTTTTTGCACGTTTGGCTTTTCCTTTCTTTTCTGTGTATTAATTCAGAAATTATCTATGCAAAAAACTCTACAAATTTCACTTAGGGGGAAGATGTGTTCTGCCTCTTCCCTCACATACTTTGTCTTGCTCTACCCATTTTGGGGAGTCAGACCCATTAACCAACTCTTGCAAAAGCTAAATGTGATTTTCAGCTGAGCCACATGGTTGCTGTAAGTCACGGCAGCTGAACGCTGCTGCCTTTGCTGTGCCCCAAACAATGCCATGGGGAGCCTGGAGGGGGGGGGAAGTGGTGATGGAGGGAACCATGCTTGTCTGATCCTGGCCATCTGCCCTGGGAGCCACTCTTGCAGAAGTGACATCTTCCAGCTGCAAACGAGATCCCTGCGGACGCTGGACAGCGGGGCCTCCAGCCAAGCAGAGAAGCCAAGCCAGCGCAGGGGAGCGGGACGGGGTCCAAAGCACTGGGGGGTCTCATTAAAGGCAGGAGATAACGAGCGCTTCCTTTCTCCCCTTCCCCTCCAGGGGCTCCATGACGAGCCTGGAGTCGTGCACGAGTGGATTTTCGCAATTCAGTGGAGCCACCACCTCCTCCGCCCAATCGCAAAGCAGCTCTTTGGTTTCCAGGTAGCATCACCTGGGAAGACGCGGAGCCCTCGGACGACGGACGGCTGGACCAGGATGCTCCCTTTGAGGCTGCAACCCACGGAGGCTCAGGGAGGAGACGCCCAGGGATGCTTTTATCAACTGGCTTGAAATCAGTCCCTTCCTTCCCTCTCTCTTCTCCTTCCTCCCTCCCTCCTTCCTTCCCTCTCTCTCCCTGTCCCTCCCTTTCTTTCTTTTCCTTCCTTCCTTATTTCCTTTCCCTCTCCTCTCCTTCTCCCCTCCCTTCTTCCTCTCTTCCTCCTTCCCTCCTTCCCCCCTCCCCCCCTTCCTTCCCTCTCCTCTCCTCCCTCCCTCCCTCCCTCCGTCTCTCTGTCCCTCCCTCCCTCCCTTTCTTTCTTTTCCTTCCTTATTTCCTTTCCCTCTCCTCTCCTTCCCCCTCCCTTCTTCCTCTCTTCCTCCTTCCCTCCTTCCTTGTCTCTCCTTCCTTCCTTTCTTCCTTCCTTCCTTCCTTTCTTTTCCTCCCTCCCTTTCCTCTCCTTCCCTTCCCTCCTTCCTCCATCCCTTCCTTGTCTCTCCTTCCTTCCTTCCTTCCTTTCCTTCTTTCCTCCCTCCCTTTCCTCTCCGCCTCCTTTCTTCCCTCCTTCGTCTCCTTCCTCCCTCCCTCCCTTCCTTCCTTCCTTTTCTTTCCTTCCCATTCTCATCTCCTTCCTCCCTCCCTCCCTCCCTCAAAAACAGCTTCTAAATCATGAAGACTGCCCCTCTCCGACTGTACATTAGCCAACCTGTCGGTTAGAATGCCGGCAGAACTATTTTTTTGCATGGATTTTACAACATTTGTAGGCTTAAAGGGCTCTTCCCAGTCGGCACCATTCGATCAAAATGGCTCTTCCCAGTCGGCACCATTCGATCAAAATGCCTTACCTATTAGGGCTTTTAGAGCCAAAAACCAACAACACAACACCCCTCCCGGCCCCTGGTGAGCTTCGTTGTGCATGGGCAATGCCGTTGGTGTTCTAGCAAGGTGCAAACAATACGCCTGGAGGGCAGAATTGAAATATAAAGTGCTGACGTGTACATAACACAGAATTCGGAAGTGGGGTGCATGGTAGATTCACGTTTCTGGGTAACTTTAGGCAGGAAACGTAACTCAGAGACTTAGAGACCTACATATTACTGTCTAATGCAGGGGTAGCTGGGGAATTCTGGGAGTTGAAGTCCACCGGTCTTAAGGTTGCCGAGACTGGACACCCCTGGACTAATGTGTTGGAACTGAGAAATACCCACTTGTTTTCCTTCCGTGCACTGAAACAGCTCTAATTTGAAAGGAGCGCCGGTTTCTCTCTTCCCTCTTTTATTTCCTCAGGTCTGTGAGCAATAATTGAAGCCGATCTCTGCCCGATGGGTTTGCTCAGGGTTGAAAAAGTGTTTCACTCTCTATGTATATATATCTCTCTCTATATATATATATCAAGGGCTAAGCAAAGCAATATTTCATTTCTTACAAGGCACAAAAACTCTTTCACAGTGTTAAGGAAGCAGTTGTTTTAGGAAGCCAGAGCTAACACAAGTTAGGGTAGGCACTTTAAAGAGCGTGTGCGTGGGTGTGAGTGTGTGCGTGCATGCCTTTTGTGAGTGTGTGTGTATATATCTATATATACAGTATATACAGATAGATGTAGGGAACTTAAATCCATAAGTCCCATTTTACGGAAACAAGAATTAAGGCTTAAATTAATTATTTGTATCGTTTTATAGGCACAACTTGATTATTTATTCGGGGATATACTCCCTTATTTAAGTATTGGCCTTTTTTTTAGCCAAAAAAGAATGGAGTGGGGTTCTGGTAACTTCAGCTTTATACTTTGGGGGGTGGGGTGCCTAGTTTCTAACTAGATATTTTTAGATGCCTGCTTGCATTACACAGAAGAAATGGCAGCTTTCCGATATCTTGAATTTATGGGGTGATTTTTTTAAAAAAACCGCGATCAGGAGTCCGTTGTCATCAAGGAACTGTTGTGATGAAATCCTACAGTGGAGAAACTTTGATTTATTTTTTTTTTAAAGTATTAGTTTTCCTCAAACGAGGACATCAAGGACTGAAAGAAATCCGTTGGGATTTATCCGGAAAGAAATGTTTGAAATGACTATACAAAGAGATGAAAAAGGCATCTAATGGACGGGGGAGAAACTTCTAATCAGGAGTGAACTGTGAATTTATTTTCCCTTTTCCTGCAACGACAGGATGAATAGGGAGGCAATTGGACAAGATTCAGCACGCCTCTTATTATGTTCAGAAGCTGCTTTGGAGGGAGAATACGGGAAGTCCTCGACTTACAACAGCTTTTTTAGTGACCATTCAAAGTGACAACAGTAAAAAAGTGACTTATGACCATTTTTCACAGTTACGACCTTTGCAGTATCCCCATGATCACGTGATCAAAATTCAGACGCTTGGACTGGCTCATATTTATGACCGTTGCACTGTCTCAAGATCATGCGATCCTTTTTGCGACAAAGTCAATGGGGGAAGCCAGGTTCACTTAACAACCGGGTTACTAACTTATCAACTGCACTGATTCACTTAACAACGTAAGGCCAGGAACGATTGTCATTTGGGACAAAACTCACTTATCAACCATCTCGCTTAACAACAGAAATTTTGGGTTCACTTGTGGTCGTAAGTTGAGGACTGCCTGTACATAATCCACCAGGGATCTTTCTGTTCATTGCCACTGTTACTTCCATCAAGAGAACTGAAGAAGGAATCTCGTTGTCTTGAAAATAGGATGTGCAAATCCACACAAAGCTAGACTGCTTCACTGGATGTTGCACAGAATTGCACACAACATGCTCCTGCTATTATTATTGTTATTATTATTATATTATTATGGTTGACCGCACAGTCATCCATCTTAGACTGAGTTTGGCATTTTTATCTACCTACCGAGTCCTTCCTGAGGATCTGGAACAGGCAAATGGTTGATTGATAGTGTTCAAAGTGTTGTCACAGGATGTTCCTCTTATTATTATTATTACTGTTATTCATTCAAGGCAACAGGAGGGAGGCGGGTGAATTTTGAGCAGAAACTGGAAAGTCAATAAACGATCTTGTAATCCTCCGTGGTTTTTTTTCCTTCCTGCCATGGTACATAACACAGACTCAACATAAAGGAAAAGTTCTTTACTGTAAAAAGCAGGATGAATAACGCTTGAACAACAGCGCAAGTCGGAATGTTATAATTTCTCCTACAGTATAAAATACGGCAGTGGTGGCGAAGCTATGGCACGGGTGCCAGAGGCGGCACTCAGAGCCCTCTCTGTCGCCCCAGTCCTAGGCCTTCAGCTGGGTTTTATAAAACCTTTTCGCTTTAGGCCTCTGCTGCCGTGTTAAAAAAAAAAAGATTCAATCAATCAGTCAATTTCAACTTCTCGCGGGGAAAAAAAAGATCTTGCAAAGTTGGAATTGATTGATTGAACTTTTTAGTCCCACCCAGTCTGCCGTTACCACTGCAGCCACGCCCACCCAATGGACCACACCCACCCAATGGGCCACACCCACCCAATGGGCCACACCCACCTGGCACCCGACGATGCATAAGTGGGTTTTGGGTTGCAGTTTGGGCACTCGGTCTCTAAAAGGTTCGCCATCACTGAAATATGGCAATCTTTAGTTTGTGTGTGTGTGTGTGTGCATGTGCACACAGGCAAGTGTTGCGCAATGAAGCATATTTCAGCAAGGGAACAGGACAGGTAACCCTCAATTTAAAACCCCCACCGGTTGTAAGCGACCGATGACCGTTGCAGCCTCCCCACGGTCACGTGATCAACCTTCAGAGGCTTGGCAACTGACTCATACTTAGGACGGTCGCAAAGTCCTCGGGGGGGGGGATCACACGATCCCCTCTCAACAAGCAAAGTCAACAAGATTCACTTAACGAGTGTGTTACTTAACAACTGCTATGATTCACTTTAACAGCTGTGGCAAGCAAGGTTGTAAAATGGGGCGAGGCTCACTTAACAACTGTCTTGCTTAGCTCAGTTGTGGCTGTAAGTCTAGGGTTACCTGTACTGTCTGTGTTACTAGGAGGAGGGAACTATTCCATGCATCCATTACTTCTGTGGGCTGAGATGTTTCTTATCTAACCATTGCTCTGCTGGTGGCTCTTCCTCCTTAAAGTCTCTCAAGAATATTCCCATGGACAATTGCATGGGTGTTGGAAAGAAAACAAGTCCCAAACATGCTTTTTCAAAAGGCAACTGGACCGTCTTTGTGTGTTTTTTTCTTGAAGAGATTTCGCTTCTTATCCAAGAAGCTTCTTAAGTTCTGGAGAACTGGAGTTCTGAACTGAAGAAGCTTCTTGGATGAGAAGCGAAATGTCTCCAAGGAAAAACAAAGAAAGCCCAGTTGCCTTTTGAAAAAGCACCTTTGGGACAACCAGGATCTGGATGTTATGTGCTCCTGGCTACTTTCCTTCGTGACCAGAGGCAAGCTCGCCTTGACCAATAACCAGCCAAGACACGGTGAAGGCCTTTTGTTTCGTTTATTGCAACAAGCGGGGAGAGAAGCTATCAAAGCTTGGATTCTCTCCAAAGTTCCAACCCAAAATATTCCCTTCTTTGTACATCCCTTGTCCCGGCCGCCACATCCCTCCTCTTTCCCCATTGGCTGAGGTACTATGAGTTTATACTCTTTCCGACTGCCGCCTATATATTTCCTGCTACATACTAAATCATACATCACGCGTACATTAAAATTAAGAGATAATTTATGCTTCTTCTGCTGAAATTCCTGAATTGTCCCCTTTTGCTTGCCAGACATCTCTAATGTTGCTGGCTTGAGGCAAGTGTAGGAGGGTCCTTGGGTGAATTTAGATCCTTTGGGAGGGGTCAATGTGTGAAAAAAGGGGTCAAGAGAGAGAGAGAGAGAAAGAGAAAGAAAAAGAAAGAAAAAGTGAGAGACGGACAGGGAGAGGGAGGAAGAAAGAGAAACTGAGTGAGAGAGAGAGAAGGAAAGAGAAAAAGAGA